CCTGTCCACCATGGGTGACCCTGCTGGTATTTAAAATACCAGTGGCATAGCTTTCAGAATCACAGCAACTCACAAGCCACCACAGTATGACAAACAGACAGATGAGTGGTGGAGTCCCCCCCAAAAAGCTATGGGGCAGCTCTACTGTCACATGTGGTCATTATGAGTTGAAATTGATTCTGTGACACTTTAAAAACAACATCATTTGATGCCTATGTATACTAAAATGTGGGAAGCATCATTTTGGTAGGGTGGTGGGTTATGTACTGGGGCTGTTAACTGCAAGATCAGCAGTTTGAATCCACCAGTTGGTTCCACCGGAGAGAGATGAGGCTTTCTGCCTTCATAAAGATTTATAGCCTCAGAAACCCTATGGAGAGTCACTATGAATCAAAACCAACTTGATGGCACACAACCACCACTACATTAGTTTGTAAACAAGCAAGAAGGCAAACTTAAATAGCAAGTGTAAAAAATGTCCCTCTTAGGCAATATGATTCTTATATATGACACCAAATGCAGAAACAAAAAATTTCGTCAAAATAGACTTAATCAAAAACCATCAATGTAGTGAAAAGACAACCCACAGAATGGGAGAAAATATTTGCATATCATATAACTAATAAGGGACTTGTATCTAAAACATGGCGGACTTCTACAACTCAGCAATAAAAAGATAAATACTCCAATTAAAATATAGGCAAAGGATGTAGTTGTATAGACATTTCTTGAAAAGCTATGCAAATTGCTGATAAGCATATGAAAAGATGCTCAATATCATTACCCATTGTTGTTGTCAAGTGCCAGAGCCAGACCCTGTATAGGGTTTTCCAAGGTTTTAAATCTTTGTGGGAATGGAAAGCCAATCGTTCTGCCACAGAGAGGCTGGTGGGCTCACGAACTACTGACCCTGTGGTTTGCAGTTCAGTCCTTATTGCATGGAGCCATTGCACTCCTATTATTACCTATTTGTTGTTATGTGCCGTCAGGTTGGTTCCGACTCATAGCGACCCTATATAGGGTTTCTGAGGAGTTGGCCGACCCGTGATTCAAACCCTTCAATCTAGTGCATTAACCTACAGCGCCACACCAAGACTCTGTCATTACCCATTAGGTAAATGTACACTAAAACTGCAATGAGATTACACTTCACACCCACCAGTATGACTAAAATAATAATAATAAACAATAACAAGTGTTGGCAAAATGTGAAAAAATATTAGAACTCTCATGCATTGCTGGTAGGAAAATACAATGGTGCAGTGATTTTGGAAAACAGTTTGGCAGTTCTTCAAAAGATTTAACACAGAGTTACTATATGACTTAGCAGTTCTAGGTATATACCTAAGATGTTTTCATTGGAAAACATATATCCACACAAGAACTTCTACATAAATGTCCAAGAAGCATTATTCACAAAAGCCAAAAAGTGGAAGCAAAATGTCTACAATGTAATGAATGGATAAATAAAATGGGATGTAGCCATATAATACTATTTACTAACAAAAAGGACATACACACCATACATGACCCTTGAAAACATTATGCTAAAAGAAAGTCAGTCACAAAAAACCACACAGAGTACGATCCCATTTTTATGAAATACTCAGAACAAACATATTCAGAGAGATTGAAAGTTGATTAGTGGTTGTCAGGGGTTATGAGAAGTGAATGCCAATGGGTACAAGGTTTCTATATGGGAGGACAGAAATGTTCTAAAGTTATAATGGTTGCAGGACTGTGACTATACTACAAATGATTTATATATCTTCAATAGGTGAGATATAAGGTATATAAATTTTATCTCAATGAAGCTGTTAAAAAAATGTTCCTTGTAAAATAACCTCCATTGGGTACAATGCAAAAATTTTTTAAATGAGCTCTAGTTTCCCTCCAGAAATAAACATAAAGCAAACAAAAATGAAAACAAACAAACAAAAAGCAAACATCCAAACCATGTATATACTTTGCATGTACTATACCGGTATTTTCAGTTTATCTGAAGACATTTAGAAGCAAATGCTCTGTTTTACTTTATTTCAAACAGTATGAAAGAAGTATCATTTAGCAACTGTTTAATATAATAAAATGACACCTGAGTAGGCTGGCAGTTCTGGATTATTTCTTGCCATTTTCCATGTATCCTGGCAACCAAGTCTTTCACCTTAAAAACATCAATAAGGGGAAAAAAGATGAGGTAAACAAACACATACTCACCTAAAATCAATTTAATGCCAGCTCTGATAAGTCCACATCTAACAACTTAAATTGTTTTTGTTTTTGTCAAAAAAGACAAAGCACTTAAGTTCTAGAATAGATTTCAAATCACAGTAATTAAGAAAACTTTACTTCATCACTATAATCTACAATGCCATATGCTTAAGGCTAAATTTTCCCACGAAAGTTATCTAGAAAAACATATGCCCTGCTTTCAGGGAACTTAGCATTTCTATTTGTTGGCTTGAATACCCAGACAGGAGACGCTGAAGGATAGCTTTGTTATAAGTCTCAAGTCTTTGGCTGTTCTCCTGTCTTTAACTTCCATTTGAAAAACTCAAGGTCACAAAATATGCTTGTCATTTGTTCATTTCTAATATTCCACTCTAGGTTTCTGCAAATATATATATCCTCTTTAATAACTGGGATATTTGGAGATTTAGTTAAGTTCCTGGGTAAAACTCACTTTCCTTACCACTTGACAGATTTCAACATAGCTCTTGAACATAACTGCCTAGGAAAATGTTTTAAACAAGTTAGGAATTTTAGGGTTGTTTCTAGTTTATAAAGTGAATTGTATGAGCTGTTTTTTTCCTTCCTCTAGAGTTCAACAATTCCGTTTCCTCCAAAAACAATTGCTACCTTTTCCCTAGTGGCTTTTGGAGAAGCATGTAAGTCATCTGTTTCAGCAGGACCCTTCCCATAACCACTGTGTCACCCTCCACTCTGAGTAAGAGAAGCTCTGGCACCAACCTGTACCTGTGCCTGGCTTTCAAAACAAAAACCTTGGGTGGTCCCTCTTAGCATGTCTGTCAACAGTAGCTACTACCACCAAGTTCTACGGGCGAGTAACTCTAGTCAACGTTTAAAACAATGAGCTTCTAAACTTATGGTGTCACTCTGAGGCAAAGAGCTATCCCTTCAACATGTACTTTAGTAACTGTAATCTGACATAACTTCATTAGGTGCTCCTTTTTGTATTTAACTTAAATTTAATAAAATACAGAGAATGAATCCAAATGGACACTGTTCAAATGACTAGCTTTTACCAACTGATTCATGTAAGACAACAAGTTACAACTTGAGACTTCAGTGACTTCACATCCAAATACAAGAGGCAAAAAATATCAGTTTTACATTATAAAAGTAAAAGTGGGTATAAAAAATATTTAGAAGAAAAAGTTCTCAAAAAAGTGTTGCTTGGTTTTATTTTTGCCAACTCAGTTTAATATTAAAGACTTTCCACTCCATACCTACATACTGTTTTCCTATTGTTTTTGAATATATTGAAACAACCAATTTTTTTTTTTCTCTATGAGCAAAAGTTTTCAATCATCATAAATTTTTATAATCCCTGCTTCATAACTTGTGTATTTATTTATACAGTATTTAAATCCTTGAAGCTGGCTTAAATATTACTTTTATTTTTAAGTGCTGTCGAGTTGGCTCTAACTCAGTTATTAATGCCCAACAGAACAAAACACTGCCTGGTCCTGACGCCATCTTCACAATTGTTATGCTTGAGCCCATTGCTGCTGCCACTGTGCTAATCCATCTCGTTGTGGGGGCGGTGTTGGTGTGTCTTCCTCTTTTTCACTGACCCTCTACTTGACCAAATACGGTATCTTTCTTCAGGGATGGTCCCTCTTGATAACATGTCCAAAGTATGACAAAGTCTTGCCATCTTGGCTTCTAAGGAACATTCTGGCTGTACTCCTTCCAACAGAGATTTGCTTGTTCTTCTGGCATCCACAGTATTTTCAATATTCTTCTCCAATACCAAAACTTAAATGCATCAATTCTTCTAGGGGCTTCCTTTTTCATTGTCCAACATTTGCATGTATATAAGGTAGTTGAAGACACCCATGGCTTGGGTCAGGTACACCTTAGTCTTCAAACTGGTATCTTTGCTCTCGAACACTTTAAAGAGGTCTTGTGTAGCACATTTGCTGAATGCAATATATTGTTTGATTTCTTGACTGCTGCTTCCAAGAGTGTTGAGCGTAGATTCAAGAAAAGTGAAGGCTTTGACAACTTTAATCTTTTCTTCATTTATTGTGATGTTATTTATTGGTCCAATAGTAAGGATTTTTAGTTTCTTTACATTGAGATGCAATCCATACTGAAGGTTGTAGTCTTTGATCTTCATTAGTATTTTAAGTCCTCTTCGCTTCCAGCAAGCAAGGTTGTACCATCTGCATATCGCAGGCTGTTAAAAAGTTGTCTTCCTTCAATACTGATGCCATGTTGTTCTTCATATAATCTAGCTTCTTTGAGTATTTGTTCAGGATACAGATTGCATAAAGTATGGTAAAAGAATACAAACCTGGTTCAAAACCTTTCCTGATTTTAAACTATTCAATATCCACTTGTTTGGTTCAAATTACTGCCTCTTGGTCCATGTACAGGTTCCTCATGAGCACAATTAAGTGTTCTAGAATACCCTGTCTTCACAGTGTTTTATCCATAGCTTGTCCTGATTCACACAGTCAAAAGCTTCTGTATAATCAATAAAGCACAAGTAAACATCTTTTTGGTATTCTCGGCTTTCAGTCCAGATCCATCGTGTCAAAGTCCACAAGAGCCAAAATATGATTTTGAACATCCCACCTGAATTTAGACCATCTCAAGAGCAGATTTGATACACTAGACACTAGTGATCAAAGACCATAAGAGCTGTGGGATGGCATTAAGACCATATAGGAAGAAAGCAAAAGATCATTAAAAAGACAAGAAAAAGACGCAAATGGTTGTCAAAAGACTTTGAGACTTGCTCGCCAATGTAGAGATGCTAAAATGAATGACGGACATAAGGAGGTAAAAGAGCTGAATAGAAAATTTCAAAGGACAGCTCAAGAAGACAAAGTCAAGTGTCATAATGAAATGTGCAAAGACCAGGAGTCAGAAAATCCAAAGGGAAGAATACATTCAGTATTTCTCAAGCTGAAAGAACTTAAGAAAAAATTCAAAGTTCAAGTTGCAGTATTGAGGGATTCTATGAGCAAAATATTGAATGATGCAGAAAGCATCAAAAGATGGAAGGTATACACAGTTACTATACTGAAAAGATATGGCCGATGTTTAAGAGGTAGCATGTGATCAAGAACTGATGGTACTGAAGGAAGAAGTTCATGCAACTGAAGGCACTGGTAAAAAATAAGGAAATTAATGGAAAACAAATTGAAATCTTAAAAAAAAAAAAGGCAAATTTTTGCTGAATTAAAAAAATAGCTGTAACAGTACAACAGGGAGCTGCCAGAAATTTAAGCCAGATTCTTAAGAGGATGTGGAACAAGGGATATCACTGCTGACATCAGATGGATCTTGGTTGAAAGTTTCAGCAAAAGGTCTTAAACTGAACAACGCAAACCAAAGGTTCTCTTATACTGAAAGATATTACTCTCCTTGGGTATCAGAAAATTTCATAACAAAAAAGTATAGTAAAACGAAAAAATGTATTTGCTGTTAATATTTTTCCTTACACTTTCAATCAAGGTAGAAGCATTTAGCAAACGTTGATTTCCATTATTAAAGAAACTCTTATTTATTTTTAAAATATTTACTTACTTGGCATGGTAGGAGTAAAGAGTTATTTAGGGTTAGGATTATGGCTAGGTCTAGGGTTTCATGTAGTGTTAGGGTTACGGCTGGGAGTAGGCTTAGGGTTAGGGGTTGGGCTAGGTCTAGGAGTAGGACATACTCTAGTTTTAGGGTTACAGTTAGGTTTATTTATTTTAAATGTTTTAGTGTGATTTATGTGAGAGTTTACATGGGAGAACATTAGCTTTACATTCATCCTATCATGGTTACAATTCCCTCCATGCATCATTAACCAACCAAAGGGTATACTCTGCAAGCCTGCCCCTTGGTCGTCAGCACATAGCCCCTCTCCCTCTCTGGGTCTACTGTCCCCAGCCGCTCCATCTCTCCACGTCATCGTCTCTGCCTCCATCTCTGGCATCACTGCTTCTCTGGGTAGGGTCCTGCATTCCACTCTTCTCCCTTCATAGTCCTAGGGACCTCTGCTCCTGGACTGCAAAGTCAACCACTCCCCTCCTTTTGCTACAGAACGTCTACCTTTACCTTTCCAACCCTCATAGTCAGTCCTGATAGCAATTATTCACTACTGTGCCACGAGTGCTATCCCCATCTCCTTACATCAGCCCTGCACAGACAGATTGGATACTAGTCAGTGGAGCTTCTACCTTCCTCCATGCCCTCTGGATCTAGGCTCCCTCTTGAAAGCTTATAAGTCAGTCACTTCTTGTCTTTATAGTTCCCCCCCCCCC